GCATTCCCCCGGAGGAGCTGGAGGAAGTGTCTGGAGAAAGGGAAGTCTGGGCATCTTTGCTTAGACTGCTGCCCCCGCGACCCGGTCCCCGATAAGCGGAGATAAATGGATGGAATGGATGGATAATTATTATTAAAATTGAGAACTTGAGGTTTAGGGTTTATAAATTAATATTAGGTTATTTGAATAAAAGAATTACTCTGTTGTGCTTTATGACAGTTTGATGCTGACAAAAGCAGCTCTAGGTGTAGATAAAGTAGGCGATCCATCTTTAACAGGCTGCGTGCTCTTGCTGACTGCAATCAGTTTCTGGTGGAGAGTCACTTTTTGGCACAACACCATAAAGGCAGTGATTACAGTATATTTTTATTGTATTGTATTTTGCATGATTAAATGTTTATAAAGTCACATGCAAACACCTGTTGTGTTGACAAATAGAAAATAAGCAAGCACATTTCTGAATCTACCCCCTTCCTGAAATTCTATTTTGAGATTGGGGGGAGGGGTGGAGATAGAGAACCTTTAGCACTGCATTCCTCGGGGTTTTGTTCAGGCATACCCACAACAGTGAACAAAATGAGTGCCCAGGTACCATCTACAAAGCGCAACACCAGAAAGAGGTCCTACAAAAACATTCATTCTTAGGGTAGTGTCACAAAAACATTTGGAAAAATTGTAAAAATTGTTCATAAAAGTGAACCTATTAAATATTTTTATAGTATCTATTTATGACGTTGCACTTTGTAGGCAGTTCCTGCATAACCATATATTTCATCCCAGCATTAGTACTATGCTATCTTATGGTTTTATGTCTCCACACCATTGATAGCCGCGGCCGCAGATATTGTGTTTCCAGGTTTTCTGGCCCATTCTTCTGAATAAAATATGTCAGGATTGCCTTAAGGGAATTTCAGATTTGGCACAAGTGTCCCCTTGGAGTCAATGAATTGATAAGATTTGTGATGGTCAAAGGTCAGTGACCTCACGTCTGTCCTATTCTCATGAAATCGACTGGTTCGTAGAGGCGTAAAACTGCGGAGGCATCAAAGTGTGAACGCTGGTGGAAATTTTAGTGTTTTCAGCTTAAGAATTTGTGAGTGCTAGAGTCTAGGCTATATGTAAACTGAGATTGTTGAGTGTTGGTACTCATTGGGGTTTGAATCTGGTTTTGGTTGTGTATGTGTGGGTGTGGGTCTCTGTGTGCATGCAGGCATCAGCAGTGTGTCTTAGGGCTCCAGTCTCTGAGTCTTTGTCTAGGCTGCAGAGGGACCAGCTCCAGAAGTTTGCCCAGTACCTCATCAGTGAGCTGCCTCAGCAGGTAACAATTCATGTCCTGGTGAATATACAAGTATGTAGTTCTGTCATGCATATGACATACTGTATATTTGACAAAGCAAGTTAGGTATTAATTCAGTTTTGTCTTTTCAGATCCTACCCACAGCCCAGCGGTTGTTGGATGAGCTGCTGTCATCTCAGTCTACTGCCATCAACACTGTGTGTGGAGCTCCAGGTATAGTAGAAGTAATGAACACATTCTGTAGATTGTTACAATTTCATTTCACCTTTTGCCTGAAAATATTCAGTGGACCAGTTTCAGCCCACAGTGTTATATATTTCTGCAGCTAGATGGCAGTGATGTTACCTGTATCATGGGGAGAGGAACATTTCCTGTATTTGTGTCCCCCAATGGTTGTGAGGAGGAGGGTTTGTTTACACTACAAGATGTCTATCCATGGCGAGAGGAGTGTTACTGTTGTGGCATTAAGGTTTGGATAGGAAATGTAACTGATCTCCTAGAGCCATTATCTATAACATGGCATTGTAAATGGAGAAAAGAGACTCTTTTTTTATAATCCACAACTGCTCTATAATTTGTTCACCTGCTGCACTGTGAGACAGAAATAGGAAACATTTTAAGTAAAATACATTTCTGGAGAGAGCTCCTGCCTTGTATGATATATATCCTTGTATCTGTACCGGGGGTACTCAAATGGCAGATTTCGCTCCAGATCTGGACCTGGAGAGGTTTCTATCCGCACTGTGAAGCGTGTCACATTAAAATAATAATAAGATTTATTTTGACAAGATTTTTGATAGGCAGGGCATGGCCGGCCTGGTTGCTGCACCTGAGAGTGAGTGCAGTCAATGCATGAGTGGGTCTGCAGCAAGAGAAGTTTACAATCTCAGAAATGTTAATGTCAAAAGTCAAGTGTTCACAAACACCCCTTCATTCTACCTCTCTTCTACAAATGTAGCAGGGTTAGTATTCTGCTCCGGGTCTGTGGTGGCTGTGAAAAGTTAAACATCATTACAAAATATAATGCAGGTAATTAAAAATGAACATAGTTATCCTCATCTCATTTTATAACTCTAAATGTGTTTGCATAGCTGAGAAAAAAAGCTTTGTTTAAAGGACTGTAAAACTGTTGACTTGTAATCGTTTGAACCTCTGGTCAGGATAATGTTAACTGACTGGACCTCCTGGAATTTTAATTGAAGACCCCTGGTCTATACATTGATCAGCCACAACATTAAAACCACTGACAGTTGAAGTAAATAACACTAATCTGTTTACAGTGACACCTGTGGGTGGGAGATATTAAGTAGCAAGTCAACAGTTGGTTGGAAGTAGAAAAAATGGATAAGTGTAAAGATCTGATTAACTTTTGCAAGGGCCAGTCTGCGGTTGCTAGACGACTGGGTCGGAGCATCTTAAAAACAGAAGGTCTTGTGGAGTGTTACTGGTCTGCAGTGGTTAGCACCTACCAAAGGTGGTCTAAGGAAGGACAAACAGCGAAGTGGCAACAGGGTCATGGATACCAAAGTCCATTGATGTGTTTAAGGAGCGAAGGCTAGCCCATCTATTTCAGTCTCACAGAAGAACTACTGTGGCACAGATTGCTGAAAAACGTAATGCTGGTTCTGATAGAAAGGTGTCAGAACACATACTGTAACTGTTTATGGGGCTGCAAAGCTGAAGACCAGTTAGAGTGCCCATGCTGACCCTGTCCACTGCTGAAATGGGCATGTGAGGATCAGAACTGGGTCACGGAGAAATGGAAGAAGGTGGCCCGGTCTGAAGAATCACATTTTCTCTGACATCTTGTGGACAGCATGTACTGTTTCTTTTTGCTGTTACTAATTATTGATTCAGTATTTGATTTTTTTCCAACCTCTGCCAAGGGAAGAGATGGCACCAGGATGGGGAAAAAGGTGATTCTACGGAGACAGTGAGATGCTTTGGGCAATGTTCTGCTCAGAAACCTTGAGTCCTGCCATTTATCATGATGTTACTTTGACATGTATCACCTACAATGTTGGGCAGGTGGCTTTAATGTTTTGGCTGATTGGTGTACATTTTGAGGACCAGTCTGAGTCTTACATTATGGGAGGGAGAAAAGTTTGGGAAACTGAGCACATTTTGGCCAGCCCTTGCTTTCTGACACAACTTCAAAGGGCTGTTTGAGAGTTAAGACTTGGTTTTGTGGTTAGGATTAGGTTTAGGCTAGGATTAGGATAAGAGGTTTGAGGGCAGGCATTTAATTGTGATTGTTAGGGTCGGGGGTCGGGAAAGCATTATGTCACTGAGTGTCCTCACCGTGTGTGTGTGTGTGTGTGTGTGTGTGTGTGTGTGTGTGTGTGTGTGTGTGTAGAGCCAACCGCCG